GGACATCGCGTATGTGGGTATTCCGGACATCGTGTATGTGGGTATTCCGGACATCGCGCATGTGGGTATTCCGGACATCGCGCATGTGGGTATTCCGGACATCGCGTATGTGGGTATTCCGGACATCGCGTATGTGGGTATTCTGGACATCGCGTATGTGGGTATTCCGGACATCGCGTATGTGGGTATTCTGGACATCGCGTATGTGGGCATTCCGGACATCGCGCATGTGGGTATTCTGGACATCGCGCATGTGGGTATTCCGGACATCGCGCATGTGGGTATTCCGGACATCGCGTATGTGGGTATTCCGGACATCGCGTATGTGGGTATTCTGGACATCGCGTATGTGGGTATTCCGGACATCGTGTATGTGGGTATTCCGGACATCGCGTATGTGGGTATTCCGGACATCGCGCATGTGGGTATTCCGGACATCGCGTATGTGGGCATTCCGGACATCGCGCATGTGGGTATTCCGGACATTGCGTATGTGGGTTTCATTTTTTCTGAGTGTTGACGTTCTCGCCTGCTTCTCTTTTATGTGAAGCTCTGTGTTAGAACTGAACAGCCTTCTTTTACAAAGAATGGCACTCTAAATTATTGTAGGACAGTGGGCTAAAACAAGTGGGCAGCGTGTGCCGGTCACAGGTTCTTGGCCAATTTAACATCATTTTCATGGTTCCGCCATAGATCCATCTTTCCTATTCACCATTCAGGAAACAATCAGTGACAAAGGGCAATGACACAAGTGCTTATTAGACAGATGGTGTTGAATGGTGGACCAGCCAGAAGGAGATGTGGCAAAAGATGCCACTACTGAACCATAGGGCAATCTGGTTCCTCATCAACCCTCTTTATTGCTTAGTCACACATCTCAAATGCAGGCCTGGTGAAGGAGGCTTTTCTGTCTGATACAGCATACTCGACTTCCCAGACCATAAGTAAAAGTAGTAACTTTCGTTTACTGCTAGCTCTTTGGTAAGTATTTTCCACACAGTATCTCATTCTATTTGACCCACAACCCTTTTGTCAATCAGGACACTGTGGGGAGGGTGGCATGAGCATCACGTAGATACTGTGTACCCCAACAGTGGAGCTCCTGGGTACTCCCTCGAACCTACCTGTGTATATGAGCTTGCAAGTTTTTCTTCACCTGTTTTCATACCCCAGTAGCATGTGAATGCCTGGGAGCACAGACATGCCTCTGCCTTTCTGTAGCCCATTGCCACAGAAGACTAATGCTGGGGTACAAGGGGTGCTTAACACCTGTTGAAGATTCTCTATAGTGATTTTTGGGGTTATTGAACTCTTTAAGGTGGAAAAAAATCCAGTCTTGCCAGAGTAGAATGACCTCACAATTAACTTCAGTCACTCAATCAATAGTCTTTATTTACCTGGTCTTGTGCTAAGTCCATGGCAGGAACAAAAGAAGTAAAATACCTGCCTTCTAGTCTTGAGGAGCTGGTAACCAAGTCTTAGTTCTGGGTAGGAAATACCCTGCCTTGGGTCCTGTGGGTTAGAGCAACTCCTGGAGTTCCTCTGGCCGTGTCTCCCAGCCATTGCAAGGACAAACTTAGCTATATAGTCCTAGACTGTAGTTCGGGTAGGTAAGCCCTAGAGTCCTTTACTCCAATGTCCACTTTCAGGACCTATGCAGGAATCTTCTAGGGTCTGATACTCAGGGCTAAAACAAGGCACCAGGTATACATCCCTGGGCCTGTAGGTGGGAGTGGCTAGAGCTTCGTGGAGGCAGCCAGCATCCATGTGAAAGTGGATGGTCCACCCCCACGCCGGGAGGGATGGAGCTGATGGGAGAGAAGAACTGAGCTTCCTGGGGCTGCTACATCCCAACGTGGAACTCCAGGACCAAGGTCTGATTGCAGAGCTGTGCTTCCAAGGTGTTTTGAAGCTGCATTTGTCTAGGTAGGGGGTATATTTAAGAGCATAACAGATTGATTGAAAACCTTTACATTTTTCCGTGTATGGGAGGTGGGCCTCCATTGTGAACGCTTGTTCCAGTCTCTACAGATGTCAGGGGTGGGCTGTCTCTTCAAAGTCTTCTAACTCGCCAGCCCCTGTCACCCCCCTACAGTTCGGGGCACACATGAAAGGCCTAGGGCTTGGGGCAGGTTTCTGTGCCTCAGCACGGGGTGGGGGTGGGGGGCAGAAGGCTGTGCTTCTGTGTAAACATTCTCTGAAATTGCCGAGGCTGGGTTGCACGCTAGCACTCGGCACTGGGCTGCTGGGAAGCGCTAAGCCGTCTCCGTTCACAAACACCGCATTGCGTTTCTCACTACACGCGAGAGGCTTTCGCTGGACTGGAGCGGCTGTGCACGGCAAGCACACAGTTGGCTGGCAGCCATTCCAAAAGTGCAGCCTCGCTGTTGATGGAAAAATGGAAGCGTTGTTAGTGCATGATTTTCACCAAGAAACAGGGGCCTGCATTTAATGTCAACACTCTGAGACTGAATGTGGCCCTATTACTGGAAAACCATACCTCTACCAAATCTGGCCTCACAGCAACGTCTGTATTGTTCACTCCCCTTCTCCGTTCCCCTATTCCTGCGGAAAACGGTTTTGAGAAAAGGTTCGGCTCAGGACAGGACTGAGCCCTGCGGCCTTTCTCTGTTGCTTGAGCATGGTTGCTCAACCCCTGGGCCTGCCTCTGCCAGGAGGGGACCTACCGCAAGGCTGTTCTGCGCACTTGGGTGGGAAGGAATCAAGGAGTGAACAGGGAACAGGGTTGGAGAAACCTCCAGCCCAGAGGGGAGGGGTGGCCCCCAGCACTAGTCCCCGTGGGCAGCCCGCGCCCCGCTGTGACCTCACCACTCCAGAAAGGCTTCATGGCGTGTGTTTCAAATGAAAAGAAATTCAATTAGATATTATTCTGAAGATGCAGAGAGGATGTCAGGACCCCTTTGAGGTGGCTAATTGGTGATAGACCCCACGGGGCTCATCGAAGCCAAGGTGATTAATCTTAGAGAAACAGCAGGGAAACCAAGACCCTGGAAAAGGAGTTTGGGCCGCGTAAGTGTCCCTAGTTATTAGCAACGGAGCCCCAGACCACGCTCACTGCTAACTAATGCCTTCAGCATCTGCTTTTAACTTCTGCCCACGGACTTGCCTGGCAGTCTCTCTTCTCCAGAGAGGGCCGGTCAGGGTGTACACAAATATCAGAACCAGACCTGAACGTCCGTGGCTCCAAACGCCACTGTGGCCCTCCTCCTCCCTCTCCTACACCAGCAGAGATGAAATCAGCAGTTTCGGACCGTTCTCTGCACCGTAAAAAGCTTTCCTAAAGCCAGTTCCACCCTCTACCGTCTTGCCAGGTGGCCGCAATGCCTCTCCGAGGGCATGGAGGGTTCTCTCTGAAGTTTGTGCCTTCAAGGAAGCGCTGTCCAGGGGCCAGGATGTTTCCCTGAGGACACAGTTGCGTTCACTCTGGCCTCATCTACGCAGACTGCAGAGGCAGCTGCAGAGGCTCAGTGGAGACAAAGATGCCCAGCGGCCGGGTTAGGTGGGTGGTTTGTCTTCTCGGGGCACAGACTGGGGCCAGCCTAAGGCAGCCCCAGCGGCCTTGTTGGGGTACCAAGCACAGGAAGAGAAACTTGAGGCCCGGTTTTCTCCATTACTTCTCAGCCGTCAAGGGTCAGAGGAAGGCCTCGGGGTTTTCAGAGCTGAGGATCAGAGCCTGCCCCAGGAGGTGCCCAGGATTGGGCAGTTTGGTCTGGAAAGACTGGAGCCTCCGGGGAGGCCAGTGCAAGGGGAGTGGCCATCTCTCCAGCACCTCCTGTCCCTCTGCCCCACTGGCTCCTGGGCACAGGTGAAGCTGAGGGCGCACAGTCCACCCCAGGGCCTGCCGGGGGCCGGTTCCTGAGCCGTCTCTGGGTTCACAACCTATGTTCCCTGGCCGCGTCCCCACCAGCTAGGTGGCTGGTCTCGCTGCTCACCTGTGGGTGGCCCTGAGCAGGGAGGCCCAGCCGCGCTCACCTCACATCACTCTGTGCTTTGCAGACAGACTGTGCCCTATGGGCTGTCCAACTACAGAGGAAACTTCCGGAGCAAGAGGTCTGTGGGGCCATTCCGGGGGGGCCCTCAGCCCTCTAGGACGTACTTGCGCTGTGCTTGTGTGGGGAGAGATGACAAGGCCTGCCTGCACTTCTGCACCCAGAACCTGGAAATCAGCAGGTATGACACCTCTCTGGTCACGCTCGTCTTCAGACCCTCATCGCCCCTGGGCAGGGCCACCTGGGCACTTCCGGGAGGGTGAGGGGCAGCTCGGCTGTGTCCTGAGGCTGTGGTCCTGTAGGCCAGGGGAAGGAGCCTGGGGAGGATGCAAGGCCTCGGCCGCAGGCGAGTAGGTGGTGTGGTGTCCCCCATCCTTGCTGCCCTTCAAACAGAGGCTACCAAGGGCCACACCACGTCTGGCCTGGGCGCACTGAGCAAGTGTGTGGGTCAGCGGGCGAGCACTGTAAAGGGAGCTGCACTAAGTGCGTACTTTCAGCGTCTTTAAAAACAGCACGTGGTGGGCTGGCTCCGTGGCCGAGTGGTAAAGGAAGTGAGCTCTCCTGTGGCCAACCGGAGTTCGAATCTCAGTTGCAGCAGCTTGGAAACACACTGGGCATAGGTGTGCGTGCCCCGAATCCCATCAGGAGGGAGCAATGGAGGAGACGAGATGGGGTTGCAGTGTGGCCACACCCCAGGGGTGCTTCCCCCTCTCCAGCCCTCTGGTGAACACATATCCCTCTGGCAATCAAAGCTCATGGGGCTATCTGGTCTCTCCACCCCAGGGCCTTCTGGCTGCTGTAGTCTGGAATGGAGTGGGGCCCTCACAATGAAGGGGACACCAGGCTCCACTCCCTTACTCACTTATCTTCCTTCGTCACCCCGGAGGGCCCTGAGCATAGACCCGTGGCCCACTCTAGCTGCTGGAAAACCTGTCTTCCAGAATGAGTGGATGGGCCTGGGGAGGCAGCTTGAGGTCTTCCTGTTGAGGCTCTGTACTCCTCTTTTTAACTTTGGGCCAAGGCTCGTCACCCCAGCCAGGCGGAGGAGTCTCTAAGAACCCTGGCCCAGCCAGGGTGGTGGTGACACTTACTGGGTGTTTTCCAACTGCAGGCACCATGGTAGTCAGGAGCCCAGGGTTGTGACCCAGAAAACCCAGAGTGACCTTGGCCGGGCCCTGACAGCCGTGGGCCTGTGGGCCACAGCTCCTCCTTCTGGGCTTCGTACCAGCTGACGCGTACTGAACAGCGAGTAGCGGTACCATGGTGAAATCCGGCCACCGAGCACTCGGCCTTCGGAAACGGTGCTGAGACGTGGTCCCATGGGAATGAGGTTGTCGTTAAAGCCACCTTTTCCCCGCTAATTCCAGGACAGCAGGAAGACCAGGCCGAGAGGCAGAGGGTGCCGTCGCCGACGGAAGCCCGCGGCGGAGG